AACAAGAGTTATCATTCCAGTGTTTTGAAGATCTGTATTTTAACGTAGTCTCTAACTTTAAAAACCATCATAAAATAATGGCATACTAAAAACATAGCTAAGTTCTACAATGGGAATACAATTAAGGCATAAAAGGCTTTCTTTTATCTACATTAGGAGCTACTTGATTGAAATATGAAATTTCTCAGACTAAAACTTGTGTAGCCAAAAAATAATAATGCAATTATTCCATATTTACAATTAATTATCCTTAGCAGAAATGTTCTCTCCTAGAGATACTTGAAAAAAGTGTGTGAACTTTTGTGAAATTTACTATGAAACCTTTTGTATTTCTTCCAAAGATTAACTGGGGGATAACTTTATTAATAATTTGAAAGTCAAAGAGCTAATGTCAATTCCAAAGCTCATTGTTTCAGCTTTTTTAAAGCTATTATTTTTAAAAATCTAGCTACATATTGTTTTCCTAATTGAAATGTCAGAAAGTCTTTAAGCAAGTTCATTGGACTTTCAAAATTGCCACCATGGTTATAATTGTAAGGCAAAACTGACCTTACATCACATAAAGTACCATTAAGTTTGGAATATAGTGACAAAACTTCTGTAACATTTGTAGAGTAGCAGACATCATAAGAAAACTCCAGTCCAAAGTTAATAATGTAAAAACAATTTCTGAAATTGAAGTAGTTTGTCTATTTATTTATTAATTTTTATTTATTATTGTGAGTCAGTATAGATGTTGTACTGATTGGGATTATTCCTTTAGCAAACAGCTTCAAAATAGTCTCTTGGTAAATGGTCTGAAGTGAAACTGCCTTTCTGTAAGAACTGTTTTCATGGGGCAGAGTCCCTTTATGACTGAAGCAGGGTTGTGCTTTACAGAGGGCTGAGATGCCCTGACAGAGCAGTCACCACCCTGCCTCAGTGGGCTGTACTTCTGTAGAATGATAATTGGTTTCTTAGAAGCAAGGAATTAATTGCAGATAAAGCCTGCATGTTTCTTCACAAGAAAACTGCCTATCCATTAGTAAATCAATGAAAATTTTGCTGTACTGAAACCAGAGTGCAGTTAAGAAAACATTCTCAGTCCTTACTTTCATGTGTTTCTAATTTTCTTTTAGAATTTTTGTTTGCATTTGTGCAAGTGTGCGTGCTTTTCTTTAGACCTAGCTGAAGGGTGAGTTTTGGAGCAAAGCCCAAGGAAAAACCTTTTGGCTATTTTTTTTTTAAATCAAAAGCATATTTTAAGTGTTTTATGTAATTTGTTAAATAAATTGTTTGAAAATATTGCTATATAATACCACGATTAAAACCAAAATATTCCTTTATACATTATACTGCAGGGTTTACTCCTTATACAAATGATTCATAGTTCAGATTGAGTGCAGAAAAAAAGCCAGGTATTCTTGGGTACTGATGCTACCACTGTACTTTTTTTCCTGATGGGAAGATTGCCCAAGTAAACTCACACTGGTTTAGTTTCCCCATCTGTATAATGTGAATAATACTTACCATCTTACAGGAATGTGTGGAATATAATATTTATGCATCACTTTGAAGTTCATCTCTAAATCAATTCTGTAACCCAAACTCCAAAATGCATGGTTGGTAGAAGACTGTGAGACACACCAGTATTTTCTGGAAGGACTGTATTTTTCTCTACCTATAAATACTGTGTTTGAGCTGGATGTGTTTTCTTTCTATATCATCAAGCCTGATAGAGCAGTAGGGTATAATGTGATGACCAACAGAGGGTTCTCATGAGAACAGGCTAGACACTGATGTACAATGAGAAAGAAAACTGAAGCATTCTCAAGGCACTCTCTGCTTGGCTGAGAATGTTAAAAAGAAACCATGACCCATGAGCTAAGTCCAGGAAAAAAAAAAAACTTTCTTCATCTGTATAACATCAAGGTTGCCAGGCAGCTCAAAATTCACTCTGGAAAGCTCAGATGTGGGAGTCCCCCCAAGAAAGTGGAATTCTGGCTGCCTGCAGAGTTTGCCCATCTTGGGAACAAATTTGAAGAAAAGGAGGTGACTTTTTGAGAGAAGTCACTTCCATTCTGTGTAAAACCAGGGAGAAATGTCTGGCTAACAATCTTAACAGCAGCTTTCCAACTTGTCACCAAGGAAATGAACTTCTTTTCAAGTAGGTCTGCTTGCAGCAACTTTATTACATATATCTAGACACCATTATTTCTTCATAGTCTAATTTTTCTTACCCTGCAATGCTTGGTAGCAGGGATGAAATTTCTGAACTGTTAATTGCATAAATACATTCTAGGAAAAGAGCAGTCCTGCAGCTTTTTGATACTCATAATTACTTCTTTCCTACTGTTTCAGAGAAGCAAATGTCATTCTGGAGAAAACGAGCATTCAATTATTTTGTAGAGAGCGCCTCTTTCTGTTGTATCTGAAGTGTAGTTTTCATGGTGTTCAAAAATCTTACTGTGATTAAATTATTGTCCAGTATCCTGATGAAACGAGAAGTCTTCAATTTACAGGTGAGGAGCTGGATCTGAAGAATAAAATCCTTAATACAAAAAAAATTGCTCAAGCTTGTTATTGATCCCTGGTATGCTAAGCTGGCCCATTGATATGTGCCTGAAACAAATGCCTTTTTGGCCAGTCAGGCATATGGTGATTTCTCCAAATTTTCCATTCAGTAAAATATAACACTTCCTTCTTAGTATAGGATATCTTTTATTGTTGGAGTTTTGGAAATTGGAAAAAAAGTGCAAACACATTGTAAAGGAACAGTTATATATATTTCCTCCTGGAATAATGTGATAGCAACTCTTTAAAACAAATGGAAAAGCAGAGAGAAGCTGGAAAAAGCTTCTGTGGAAAGGCTGGTGTTGCCGGTTTGTTTGGAGGATAATTCATTGTCACTGTTGTAGAGCTGAAAACCCACTGCACGACTTGCTATGAAGCAACTGACACAAGTTGTGCACACTAGAATATTATTAATTGAATGTATTTTGAGCCAATATTCATGCTCTAAATATATGGAAGTACTGAAAAATACACAGATCACACAAAACATGAGTTGGCAAATATTCACTACTCAAATTTCAGTTTTTGCAAAGTATTGTCTTACGGCATTTTTTGGATGCTATATGCAGTGAATGAAATCCAGGCCACACTGGAAGCAAAGGCAATACTAAATTTTCTGCAGGACCTGGATTTTATCCAATATGTACTATATTTCAGTATAGAATCATCAATATTACAAGTTAATTATCTAAATTAGTTCAGACTGACCATGTCTTATGTCTCCTAAACAATAAATTATTTAGGTGATGCCTTGCTAAAAAGATCAAGGTGCTCTACTGTGGTGGATGTATTTTCTTCTCTGTTCTAATAACTAGAACCTATAAGCCATGGAAAGACTCAGAAATTAATTAGAATAGGAATTAATAAGTGAACAAATATATAACCCACTATACCTGACACCTTATTTGTTTTAAAAATCCAAATAACAACATAAAACATGTTTGAAAATATGTAACTTAGCAGTGGATACCTTCACTGGTTTTTAGGATGTATTTGTTGAATAGAGTATCTGCTAACAGACTTTCTCCACTGTTACTACTATATACAGGACACCAATACTCTTGCATTATGCTCACAAAATAATTATTGCAATGAGGTGATGTGTGTTTGCTCAGGTAACAAAGCAGAATACGTAAGGATGGATCTGATTTTCAAGTGGTAGTATAATGTAACTAGTACAACGGGTTCCTTGCTTTCAAAGAGAATGAAATATATGAACTGTGAGTTTTATAGCCGCACACTGTCTCCGCATACCTTTGTTATGAGAATCGGTGCCCTTCACATAAAGGCGTCCTGAACAAACCCGTGTTAGCTTATAGCCAACTCGCCAGTTTAAAAATTGACAGTGGTTCCTTTAAACTAGAACTTTACGAGGCTCTTTTCCTTCTTGCACTGAGCACGGAAAAATTCGCAGGCAGAGGTGCACTGCTGCCTTCAGCAAACCGCGCTGTCCCGCAGCGGCGGTGACACCACGCCGGGTTCCCCCGCCCTGCCGCGGCCCCGCGCTGGCCCCGGGGATGCCGCCGGGGCGCGGCCGCGGCCGGGGCCGCGCTCCCCGAGCCGCTCCGAGCGCGGCCGCGCTTCCCGCGCTGCGCGGCGCGCCCGGGGCGCTGCGGGCGGGGGGCGCGGGCGCACATTCCCACATTCCGATGCGGTGAGGCAGCGCGGCCCGGCCCGCCCCCGCCCCGGCCCCCGCTCGCGGGGCGCGCACGGCGATGGCGCTGGACCGGGTCCAGCCGCGCGGGACGGCGCCGCTGCTCCGCGGTGCGGAGGCGCGGCGCTGGGGCGCTTGGCCGACGGCGCCCGTTTGCGGGAGGTAGGAGGAAGCTCTTCCGCGGGCGGCTCCAGCGGGCGGCTCCCAGCGGCGGGACGGGACCCGGGACGCGCTCTCTGGCTCCGGGAGTCCCCTCAGCGGGAGCCGCCTGGTCCTTCAGGAGCAGCCGCGCGCACGCGGGGCCGGGGTCAGCGGCTCCCGCTGCCGCACTTGCGGAGCGCTCCACAGGGCCTGCGGGAGCGCGGGGCTGCCCAGGGCAGGACAAGGAGCAGCTGCCGCATCCCATCTGCCTTGCGTGCAGGAGATGATCCTAGCGACCCGTCCCGAGGGCAGCCATCCGGCGGCAGAAATCCGCTGTCCGCCACCGAGGAGGGGCGGTCCCGGGGCACCCCTGCCGGGCGGCCCCGCGCCCTCTGTCCGCGGCTGACCGAGCCGGCGGCGCTGCCCCGCGCCCCTCCCCAGCTCTCCCCGTCCCCCCGGGCCCGGCGGGGCGGTGCGCGCCCGCAGCCCCCGCCCCCGGCCCGCCGGGGAAGGCGCCTCGCTCGCTCCGCCGCCCCGGGCAGCGGCGGCCGTGGAGCCCTGGCGAGGCGGGGGCGGCCCCGTCCCGCAGAGCGCTCCGCCGCCGCGGCCCCGCCGCCGCTGGAGTCACCGCCGACCCGAGGAGGAGGACGAGATACCGGGGGCACGCCGAAAGGTGCGTCCCCTGCACACCCCCGCCCGCTCTCACGGGCTCTTTCTCTGACTCCCGAGCGTGGTTGGCTCTCCTCCGGCTCTCTGGGGCCGGGTCCCGGCCCGCACGGCTCTCGTGCCCCGGGGGGTTCTGAGGGCTGCCCGGGCCGCCGCTCTCGGCCGTGTTCCGCAGCCCCCGCTGCCCGCGCCCTCCCCGCCGGACCTTCGGCTTAAGGGCTCTCCTTCCTCTGGGGGGGCTCAAGAAAACCCCAAATGCGAAAGAAAATTGGGGTGGGCTGCCCTTATCCCACATGCTAGAAATTGTTCTAAACTCATAGTTCGCTTTTTCTCTTCCACTGCGATTGTACAATCAGTTGTACTTTTCATGTTTGAGTCTGGCAAAGTTTAGTCGAAGGTTGGTGCAGCACATCGGAGATGTGGCGTGTGAAGCAGCCTGTGGCTGTAAGCGACACGGGTGCTGCCTCTCTCCGCCTCAGCGGGTCTCTGCTCCTTCGGGGTGCTGCAGGCCCTGACAGCCAGCCGTGAAGGGGCAATGCATTCCTCCCAGCTCCAGACTTCTCTTTGCCCCACTTGCTGAAGTGTTGTTGAGTTAGAAAGACTCAAAGTCTGCAAACACTTTGAGAAGTAGTTTCGCTGAAGTGTTTGTAGGATCAGGACCAAAGTGTCTAGGTGTGATGCTTATCTGTTCTGCTGCACCCTCTTGGGATGCCACCAGCACAGGTGATAAAGGGAAGAGCCTATACAGGTGACTGTGAACTGGGCTTCTTCTGATAAAAGAAATGAAAGAGCTGGATTAAGAGTGGTAGAGAAATGCCTGAAGGATCAGCTGTACTTCAAGGAACAGTAAAATGTTTTTTTTTATTGTGGGGTTTTTGTGTGGGGGGGAGTTTTGGTTTTTTTTTTGTTTTTTTTGTTCTAAGTTTTTTTTTAAAGTTTTTTCAATATTTTTCTCTCCTCTGTGTGTGACAAGTTTGCTAAATATTTCCATCCTTTACATTTGTATATTTGAAAGAAGATCAGAGAACCTGCCAATTATGAAACAGCCTCTTAGTAATAATTTTAGAGCGATGACTATTAAGTCGTTTAAGAAGTCATGTTTTTCCAGCTACAAATAATCATCTTTGATCTGTGCTATCACATCCCGTAGAAAGTCAATGGCAAACAACCAATGTGTGTGATCATTACAAAAGCACCGCGAGCAGTGAAACATACAAGGTGAAACCAGAAACAGACACCGTTTTGTGTAGTAGGAAGTGTTCAAGAGAAATTCCCAAGACATAATGGACATGTATGCCCATCTACATAAATTTCCGGAGGATTTCTAAAATCTTGCTTTCTTAGTCATCTAAATAGAATTCATTCTTGCCATATTGAGGTAGTAATCTCAGATACTGTAATGAGTTCATTGGTGTTTTCATACATGGTAAAAAGTTTGTTATTAAGACTTTGTGACTGTAGATGAGGCAGTGCAGTTCCTGTCCTCTCAGTTAACATTAATTTAATGTGATATATTTGATGCAATGAAAGTGTGATGTTCAAACAAGAATTCCAAGACATTAAGAAGGAAAAGAAATGCCACAAGGTAAAACTTCCAGATCAAGAAACATGAAAGCCCTACTGCAGAATAAAGAATTTCTCAAAACTCTGTTAACTGGAGATCATAGAGCAGATTCATGGAGATGATACAGTAATTTGAGATCTGGGAGATTTGTAATTTGAGAAAAAGAAATTCTTTGTATTTAGATTATCTAAGAGAATGTGATGAAACAATTTGAGTGCTATTTGTAAGTATCCATAGAAGTATTTCTTTTATCAAAGGGCTGTTTTATTTAAGAGAAATATGTATGTTAAGATCTGCTAGTGACTAGAAACTGCATGGAAATCCAATATAGGAGCAAGGCACATATTGAAAAGTGACAGCTGTTACTGTTCATGAAAGACTGCAGATTTATAACCACTGGAAACATTTTGCTTAAGTTAGCAGCTCTTCCTTCTCTTTTGGAGAAAAGCAGCTATAATTTAGCAATGGTTCTTGGATTTGAAATGAGAATTAGTTAAAGAAAACTTCAGTTACTAAGGAGGCAAAAAGTAATTAATCTATTATTTCATTAGAATGTCATGAATTTGCATAGGGATTTTTTTATTAAACATTAAACTAAGGGTTTTTTTAGTGATCATCTTAATTTATGTGCATATTTGTAAAAGCATTTATTTAGGAGTGTTTTATTTTAGAACACTGATGACCACATTTCAGAACACTGGTTGTCATTTTATTTCCTGTTTCTACAGCACTTGTACAAAGCAGATTTTGGCTCATTACTGACTCTTAAATTTTATAAATGACAATGATATGTGTTACTAGCAATAATTCACGGTTTTTTGTTGTTGTTGTTTTGGTTTTTATACTTCTTGAAAATGCCAGTAACTGAAAAGTTGGAATGAATCATGCAGCTCCAGCATGGACAGACTTACTCTCATGCCTGTTCACAATGCAGCCATTGATGGTTTCATTGAGCAGTGGCTATCATTTGATTGTGCAGACAGCAGGTTAACAGCTGTCTGTACCTTTAATATGCAGTGTGATTCATTTGTAAATAACATTTTCATCATGTCTCTCTTTTAGGAAGCTGTTAGCATGCTAGCATTAAATTCATGCTTTCCTTAATTTTGTCCCTTCCTGAGCCTTCTTAATCGTTTAGAAGAGAGGTGTTGCTCATGTACTAGAGGAGCTGCATGACTGAGTACTTATTATGTGAGAGCAGTTCAGCTTGCTCTGCATACTACTTTTTTTGTTTTGACAAACCTATATATATATATCTGCTTGTGGGTAGAGTTTTCCATAGTCATGGAACTGCCAGATCTTGGTCATATTTCACTCCTTGATTTTTTTTGAGCAAAACATCTATCTGCTGAAACAAGACTTGTGTTTAAGAGCTGAGGATAAAATGCTGACAGACTTTCTATGGATTTCCTATATTGGGAGGTCTCTAATATTTTTATTTCATTTCAAGGCACAGAATTTTGGTTTTACTTGAAGCAAAGAAGTCAGTTTGTAAGTATGTCAATGTGGGATCAAAGTCTGGTCCTCTGATTTCGCATACTCTTGTCATGCTGACATCTCTGTGCAAGACATAATTGATGTCACTGATTTTAAACTAGGCCATCCACAATACTTTCTTCTTAACTGCCTAGTCATTCATAAATAATCCAACATGTTCAAGCAAGAGCTCGATGTGGCAGCACTTACTGAAACCTGGTAACAAGAGCTAAGAGGAACAGGCTCAACTCCCCACCAGAATTAGCCTTCTTCCAGAGCTCACTACATTGCTCCAGTTTATCAAGTGTCAGTGACAGTGCCACAGGTAATACCAGCTCTTTCAGTAAATGATTTAGAGCAGCAGGACGCAAACCCTGTGGAGTATGTGACATGCCCCACTGAGCTGCCTCTTGCATTCTTTACATCTGAAACTCATGTGTACTTGGCTTAGCATTGGGGATTGAGACAGTGCAGGCTTGAGTCTTTTATGAGGAAGTGTATTCTGTGGGCACAGTATAGATACTGTGACATTTTACAGTAGTTTGAGGCATATTATAAAGGTTTAAATAGTCTGTCCACTGTGGGATACTTTTTATTCTACATTGCTATACATAACTAATATTTAATAACTTGTTACAATATTTTCATTGGTGCCTCCTCATTTAAAAAAAGAGTATAGTATTGTATTTGTCAGTTGTAACATTTCAAAAGTAATTAAAAAATTAAATGCTCAGGCATTTTGAGTGTTCTTTATGTTACTTATTTCAATGTTTTAAATGAGACACAAAAAAATAGAAACACTGAGACCAAAGTTGAAGCTACCATTTGAAAATATTTTTGAGGTAATGGTTTTATTCTGTTAGTATGCACAAGTGCTGCATAACTTGCATCTAATAATAGTGTGTTTTCTTAAACAGATGACTCTCCAGTTGCGTTGACCTTGCCTTGTGTAGTAGGACCTTGCTGTCTGCTGTTTCAGACAATGCTCTGATGTGAGATCTCTCCTCCCACAGTATTTTTCTCTGTCTGTGCTACAGCATACAGCAAGAATGCTGCTGCAGTGATCTTTGGTATTTGAGGTTTTTGTTATACTGCATCTTCTTTCAAACATTTTCATAATGCATTCCTTTACTCCAAGTACAAAACTCTGTTGCTTGGATTAGGTTAATTTCTTTCTGTAGTGGTACAAATACCTTTCAGCAGTGTTTTGGGGAAAACCAATTTGGTTTGCTTTTGGAATTTAGCAAGATAAAAAGGGATCATACCAGACCAGCTACTGCTTTGTGCACTACAAACTGTTCACATCAAAGAATAACCTGTGGATTTCTTTTCAAGGAACTTTATTGATGTGAATGCCTCCTTTTTAATTCCTTTAGAGTTTTGGATTTTTAGCTCTGTACCAAATTGCAAGGGAAAAAGAAAACCCAGTGTTGAAATAACCAGGCTGGTTTGCATTTTGAAGATGGTATTTTGCTCCTGTTCTAATTCTAGGTAATTTTCATACTCCGACATTTTTCAAAGATGTATTTTCTACCAGTTAGCTATTGTTCAATGTGGCAAGTATGTTAAAATGCATTTATATCAGATTGTTGCCCATTGGTGGGCAATTTCTCCTAACAAACTGTTCAGTATTTTTCTAACTTTTTTTAGAAGATGTCACACTTCTGGTGACTTTCAAGTGTGCCAGATGTTCTGTGAGTATATGCATTGTTTCTACTGAAAGCAGTGGGAAAATAACCTCATTGCAGGTATTTCTTGTGAAAGCTTTAAGTTTCTGATCACTCAGTGTGCAACCATTTTAGTTCAGCACACTTACACGGGAAGCAGTAAACACAGAGGTGTATCTCTGCAAGGCTGGAAGCCCCTGGATTTCTGACTGGCAAACAGCCTGAGTCCCTGCTTGGTTCTGGAGTTCACATTCACTCCTTAGCTGTGCCACAACCCATGGTTTTCTAACATATTCAGTGGCAGGGGTGTCAAAGAAGACCAAGCAGATAATAATTCTTGAAATCTTTTGTGTTATGGTACTTTGGAATTTTTTAGGTGAAGAATATTTCTTAATATGGCTCCTTTAGAGCACTTGAAGATTTTCAGTGTAGAATGTATAGTCTGTTGTTTGCATTTTTACCTCCAAAAAACATAGAAAAAGGAAAGAATCTTACATGATTACCTTTGTTTTGTTATGATTGCACCTTTTTTGTTTGTTTGTGTCTTTCTTAACAATCAATTTATGTAATAGACAACAAAAAGGAAACAATAAAATCAAACAGTTGGGTACTTGTTGGAAATATTTTTGTCTTAAGAGCCACTCAGAATGTTGCTGTCATTATTTGAATATACATGTCTTCTCATTCTGTGCTTTTATTCAGAAAAGTATAAGCAAGAAATTAAACTTCAGCAGTGGTGTTCACTCAGTAGACTTAGAAATGAAATAGGGAGAAGCAACAACATAGAAATAGATGGTTTCATATGTGTATCATTTACTAAAACCTCCTTGACAGTACCACTTAGAGGCATTCCTTATATCATTAGCCTGGGTAATTTAAGTACAACTATAGGGTTTTAGAAAGTAGCTAGCAGTATTCCATGATCTTGTGAAATTATATTAGCTTAGGCCAAGTCCATGTGGCATTGAGTGCTGTTGTTTTCATTGTGTTGCTTGTTATGCGTGTTAGCACTTGTTATGCTTTTGTCCCTCTAGTTAAAACAGATTTCAGAGACTGTAGGACAAGATTCCAATACATGATTAAGCTAACTTGCAGTATGAAACAGAATTGTTTATTAATTTTTTTTTTTAAGATGTGTCAGGTTGAAGAAGAAGGTGTTTTTATTTACCTAATCCAAACTAGCCTTCTTGGTACTTAATCAGAAAACATTTGTAGATAAAAGTCTAAAGTTGAAACTTGTTTGGAAATATGGTTGAACACCCAAATGCAGTGTTCAGTTGTTCCCATTCTCACCTAACTTTTCTAAAAGCAAATAAAAGTTAAGTGTATATGTAGTACCCTGGTATAGGAATGCTGTGATCATTAGAAATCTAGCTTTAGCAGACAGTTTGACTGTAGAGAAAGAGTATAATGTTAATACTGTTCGTTCTTGTTTGTGTTAAGCAGATATTGTCAATTACCAATCTATTTGCACAGGTAGAATTTGTATATAGTTATGGAAGCATTTTGGATTTGCTATAAAGAAAGAATATTCTTGTAAAATGTTAATTTAGGCCCATGACTAAGAAGGCATTTATGAATCTCTTAAATTATTCAATGCTTTTTTTTTTTGTTCTTAGTGGTCAGCTGAAATTTTTTCTTGTTCCAGCAAATTCTGAGCTATGGCAAATGTTTTTTGCTGAATCCCTGTTTCACTCACTTTTGAACACTTTTTGGAAGAATGTTTTGCTTGCTCTGATTATGTTCATGCAGCAAATTCTGGAACTCTGTCTTAAAACTTCTTATTTCTTTGTAGTAGGAGATATAAGAACTTGAGGCATTAGGGAAAATAAAGTCTTGCTTAAAATTTTGTAGATTCATTTGTATAAAGCAATATGAATACCTTGGAAGTCAGCAATATTTTGAGTTGTAAATGGTCCTCTGCTTTAGCAAGATAAGGAAATACTAAAATTTTAGATTAACTTTGGGGGCATTAGAAAAATAATGGGGTAATTTATGGTATTAATAAATGGATAATATCTACAATTGATATGTATTTTCATTGTTTTGTCTAGTCATTCCAATCCATTCTGGAGACATACCAAAAAAATGAAAAATGTGTTGTCAGCACTGTTCAGAGCATCAAATTCCAAAATCTCATTTTCCTTCCATGGAACCTTCCTTTTTGTCTTAGAATTATTAAACCATTATTGTTCCCATTTGCATTTTTTTTTTTTATAAATAAAGCTTCTCTTTTAAAGGTTCAGATTATGAATATTACTAGTACTAGTAATTATATAATAGTACAACTAGGGCTTCTGGGAAAAAAGTGCCTCTTTGAGTACATGGCTATACGAATTGGCAATACTGGAAATCCTCTTCAGAAATTAATTGTGTATGCTTTGTGAACTGTGATTCTAGATTTGCAAGCCAGGTTCAGTAGTGGTGTGTAGAAATAAACAGTTCCCTAGACAGAAGGCTATAAAACAGGTCAGTGTTAAAATATGCAGTAACATCTTTCCAATGTCTGTATAGTATTAGACTACTATGCCTGCCTGAATTCTCTTTCAGAATTCAGATCATAGCATTTGTTTGGAGTTTTGTTACCTCATAGGTGTAGAAATGTTAGAGATGCACAGGCAGTAGTTGGTTTTCTGGAGGTCTTCACTTCCACCCTCCCAGAAGAGGCAAGTTTGTATATTCTCTTAAAACTTGCGAATATCCTACTTTGCCCAAAGCTTAGCTTCATGTTTGTCTTCCCCTCATTTTGTTCCACATACTTTTTATTCTGTTATGCAAGTTGATGATGAAAATGTTTATCCTTAACAATCAGTTATCTTGTTGGCTAGCTACAGAAAGCTGGTTTTGAGGCTAAAATTACTGATTTTAGCCTCAAAAGATACTGTACCACAGTTACAACAGTTCAGCATATTATTATCCTTCATAACAGCTCCAGTGCATCCCTGAACTTCATTTCAGCTGTGGTGCTTTACAGAAAGCTGCATAGAATTGACTTATGAGTTAGTGGGAGAGCTGTAAAAATATTTGAGGAAGGTGTGTGCACAGATTTAAAACAAAGAAAGTTGTCTGGTATGACAGCATTGGACCTCTGAGGTTGCTGTTGAGAAGAATGGAAAGCCTTGGACAAAAGAGAAAAAACAACCTTCCTTTCTTGTTCTTACTTGAATTTACATTTAGCAAAACTCTCCTATACATTCTCTGTGCATTTGAGTCAAAGAAATAAGTGAATAAAAAAAAAAAAAGCCTTTGTGTCCTGGTTTTCCCGCCTTAGCCATTTTGCTTACAATAAAGCTCTATTCTGTGAGCAACCATATGCATCCCAATAAAGGTTTTAAAGTTTGAATTGAG